TCTCGGCATGATGTCTAGCTTTTGAGGATCTTTTGGTCTACTTCACTTTGTCAGGCAGGTCCTATTTAAGAGATTTCTTGATTGCGAACAGTTGTGGCAGTAATCAGGCCTGGGTGTGGCTAGAGAAATTGAACTCAGGTGTGATAAACCACAGTTTTAACAGGGGGGCAAACACTTCTTCACACAGGGCCATGTAGTTTTGGATTTTGTTTTCCCTTATTAATAAAAACCTTCATTTAAAAACTGCATGTTGTGTTTACTTGTGTTATCTTTGACTAATATTTAAATTTGTTTGATGATCTGAAACATTAAAGTGTGACAAACATGCAAAAAAATAAGAAATCAGGAAGGGGGCCAACACTTTTTCACACCACTGTATATATAAAAAAAAACAATTTAAGACACCATAATGAATTTTGAATGGTAGTCTTTATGTAAGGGATACTGTGCAGACATTATCACACATACACAAAATGATGTGTATAATTACAAAGTCATAAAGTTTGATAAATCTCAGACTAATTTATCTAACTGCTATTCTGGAGGGTACATTTTAATAAAAGCATAGGCAAATGGCAAATACATGTCAATTTCCAGATACAGTCATCTCAAAACTGTAACATCTCAAAAACCCATTGAAAATACAATTTATTCAGTAACTTGTCACAGTAAACTATCAATTTTTATAACACTGTTTCATTTGATGTTTCTTTTTCAAAAAAGTGTACTGTAACAGGAAAATAATCTACAGTGTGAAAGCGTCATTCCCTCAGGAGCCCCTCAGCACCGGGCCCATCGTGTGCGTGTCTATATTTGGCACAAACAGTAGCCTACGGTATGTGAAGGATGGCCTCTCACAGACGCGCATAACTAATTTTAGCCATATTTCTTGCCGCATTTCCACGCTACAAGTGTGTTTCGCCAATACAAACAGACGGATAAATGGCGTTTTAAAACGGTTTGTCACTTCCTCTCGTGACGTCACTGTGTTTGTGTTGAACGCTGGCACACACTGACAGATTAGCTACAAACCTGCAGCTGTTTTAATTTCTTGCAGGTTCTTTTAACTCTTAATCGTCTTCGATTACATACTTTGCGTCTTGCTTTTGTTTTATTCGAGCACTTGCGCCTAAGAAGATCCAGAGGTAAGAAAATATGTTATTTCACGTCCCGGGTGTCGAAACTAACGTTAGCTCCAAACGGCTAGTTCACTCCGGTAGGACGCATACAGCAATGAGTAATAAAGATAAGCATAAGCCTGTCTTTTTATTTAATTTAGATGCAGCCAGACTTCTTTGTTGACTGGCACTATTAGGCCGTCATGTTTTCGACTTTATTTGCTTGTTAAAGCTTGTGTCTCTTCGCTAGCTGGTCTGTCATGCGACCTTTTGATGACAGCATGACAAGAAGACGAGACGAACAGCAAACAGCCCATTTGCTTTATTTATTAGCATGACCATGTTGCATGCATGCTTTGATCAATATTTATAAGACAGATCGAGTGAGTCAGGCACCTGCTACACAAAGAATAACTATATGATATTAGTATATAAACATGTCTGAAGCTTGATATAACCCACTATAGTATTACCTAGACCTAGATGGAGTAGCGAAATTTGCCAAAATTAAATATTAATGAATGAACAGATGTTTCGAAGAGATACATTATTTACCCTCATTACCATATGGACAAAATATATAAAAATGAATGTGTGAAAAAAAAAAAGATTTTGGAAATGAAGAAGTGAAAGATTAAATAAATACAGTAGTCTATAAACAAAACAATAAATAAAAACAGCTAAAACTATTGCAAAACAGTATGTACTTTATTTTAACATTATAGGCAAATTGATGTAAAAAATAAAGTACTAATTTTGATGAGAAATTAAACATAATTTATTTAATATTTGTTTATTAATTATTTATTTGTATGCATCTGTTTATTTTTAATATTTGCAAGGTTATTAATATATATAAATATATATATATATATATACAATTTATTATAAATATATATCATATTATAAATAAATATATTATAAATATTTATTTGTATTATTATTTAAACATTTATTTGTTTAACATGTATTTATTGACATTTATTCTATTTATTTTGATGATTGTCTGATTATTATTATTATTATTATTATTATTATTAAATAAATTGTAAATGTGGCAGTCAGCATATCCCCGTTGACATAAAGCAGTACTGAATACACTATTGGTATCGTCTTTAAAGAGATTGAATGATTGTATGATTCCTAATGTAAAGATATTACTTGTTCTATCAACTTCATTCTCTTGTTAATCAGTTTTCTGTTTTCTTTTTTCTTGGATTATTTTTCTCACTTTCACAGCCATCTCATTTTGGTGTGGTGTCACCCGGTCTGGGTGAAATGTCCTTTAGTTCCACATGAGCTCTACTATGTGGTACATCATGCAGAGTATTCAGAGCAAATACTCATTGTCGGAAAGGCTCATTCGAACCATAGCTGCCATTCGCTCCTTCCCACATGATAATGTGGAAGACCTTATACGCAGGGTGAGTCGTGTTACCAACGCTTTAAAAAGTCTTTCATATATTGCGTTCTGAATGAAAATGTGCTTCTTTCTCAGGGAGCAGATGTGAACCGGATGCATGGCACGCTGAAGCCCCTGCACTGTGCCTGTATGGTGGCTGATGCTGATTGTGTGGAGCTTTTGCTGGAGAAAGGTGCTGAGGTACAGTGTAACAAGAATAATTCTTTTTGAGTTTGCAAACTAAAGTCAATTCCCTAAATTCAGTGTTTTGACAGTTTAAAAGTAAAGCGTGCAATTTTGTTGCCACTAGTGGTGGAGAAATTACACATTTTACTGTTAAGTTGTTAATGGCTGTGTGGCAAGTAAGTGATTAAAGGTCTTTTCAAATCTAGTTTAAAACATGTTAAGTTTTTTTTTTCTTATGTTTTGAATAATACACATCTTAATCTTTATTTTTCAAAAAGTTATTAAATTTGTTTTTTCAAGATAAAAGTATTTATTTACAAATATCCCAAATTAGTATTTTATAAATATCATTAATTTTTTGAGGGGTTGCACTACATGATATTTTGAAACCCTAAACTAACCTTGACTTGTTATAAAAAGGTCAAAATATATTATTGTCTTTAATACTCAGTCATGCGGATCTGCAGGGGTCCTCTCTATGACATCATTTCCTGTTTTGTTTTTTTTCCTGTATATTTTTGCTTGTTGGTTGCTGCACATGACTTTGATTTGGCAGACTAAAGTTTTTAATATTAATGAGCAATGAGAAAGTTTTGTTCAAATATATGTACACTACCGTTCAAAACATTTTGGGGACAGTATGATAAAAAAAAAAAAAAAAGAAGAAATTAAAACTTTTTCAGCAAGGATGCATTTAATTCATCAAAAGTGATAGTAAAGACATTAATAATAATACAAAAGATTTATATTTCAAATAAATTCTGTTGATGTGAACTTTCTATTCCTCAAAGTATCCTGAAAAAAATGTATCATGGTTTTCACAAAAATATATTTTTTTCATGAGTCTGTTTACTTCATTATCATATCAGGAAAGATGCATCACCCCTACATTTTTACTTAATTTTTGACACAATTTTAATTCAGAATTAAAAAAAAAATAATAATAATTTTCTCACCCAGGTAAACGCCTTGGATGGCTACAACCGCACTGCCCTGCATTACGCAGCGGAGAAGGATGAGGGTTGTGTGGAGCTGCTTCTAGAATACGGGGCCCAGCCAAATGCTCTGGACGGCAACAAGGATACGCCACTGCACTGGGCTGCCTTCAAAGATAACCCCGAGTGCGTACGGGCCCTATTAGAGAGCGGCGCGTGCCCGAATGTCCGGGATTACAATAACGACACACCCCTCAGTTGGGCAGCCATGAAAGGCAACCTGGAGAGTGTCCGTGTGCTGCTAGAGTACGGCTCTCAAGTCCACGTCACCAACCTAAAGGGCCAGACGCCTATCTCGCGGCTGGTGGCGCTGCTGGCTCGGGGCCTGGGCACGGAGCAGGAGGAAGAGTGCCTGGAGCTGCTTTGCCGTGCCGCGGGGAGGATCGAGATCCGCAGGGCCGACGGCTCTTTACCACGTGAGCTCAGTAAAGATCCTCAGTTACTGGCTCGACTCGCTAGCCTCGTAGCCCAACCGCCCTCGTTACGAGCGTTGGCGCGCTGCACCGTTCGTAACAGCCTGGGAGTTCAGTACCTCCCATCTGCGGTGAAACACCTCCCGCTTCCAGAGTCAGTGAAAGAATATGTGCTCCTCAGAGACTGAGCGAGAAGACTGTCCTTAATGTCAGACGTGGAGGAGGTAGATGTCTTCCGTGTACGTGAACATGTGATTGTAATCAGACTGCAATCTGAAGTGTGTCTGTCCATATACTGTGGGTGAATAAGTGAGGAAGGTTCACATTTCTTTTGTTGCTATAATGTCATCAAGCAAATTCAGACTTTGGTTGCAGTACAGTTATGTGCTTTGGTGCAGAGAAATACTGATCAGGTAGGAGAGAGATAATGCACTTATGAACCCATAATGTTAAAATATCAGTAGATAATATGTGAAACACTAATTGCAAAAACAAGAAAATAATTTAAAAATATTATTTACCAGTAAATCCTATGTACACACAAATAACACTTTAACAGCACTTATAAGTTATAATTATATATTACATTTGTTTCAAACTTATACTTGAAGATAAAGTTTTTATTTATGCATACATTTTTTTAAGATAGTAACTAAAACCTTTAGATTAAATTTTAAAGTCAAATAAATATTAACATTTTTGTTAAATAATTTTATGAGGCTTTCCAGTCATCAAAAATAATCCTGGAAAAGTGGGTGAAATTTTGCCAAAAATATAGTAAATTTGCCACAAAGTAACCTTGTTTTATATTTGTTTACTAATCTCTGGCATTTTGAAGCAGAACAATGTAAGAACACTTCATTGGATTTCAAATCAATATCTATTTCTGTCCATCTATCACTTTGGTAATTATGAATCTTTCTCTTGAAAACTACCTGGTTTAGTGTGTTGAATTGTATTACTTTTTTGGTGCTGATGATTGCAGAAAGTGAGCTGTACTTTTGCGTTTGAGATGAAAACACAGCAAACCTTAACAAGAATATTCTATGTCAGTAATGGGAATGTTCATTTTTTTTAGCTTCACAGTGTCATGTTGGCATGATCATTCCAAACGCTTGCAGACCGTGAATGGGATGTCTTAAATGAATTAATGTCAACACTAGTGTCACATCTTGTGAACCTCAACAGATTTTTTGCAGTTGTTTTCATTTCACTGTTGTTATATTGCTTGATTAAGAAGTATGTAGTGCTTACATCTAGTTTTATGCATGCAGACTAACCAGTAAAAGCCTCCATGCATTGTTCAAGAGTCTTACTGCAGTTTTTCTCCAAACCAAGTGAATCACGAACGTGATTATGAACACATCATTTGCCTTCTCAATGACATAAAACCTTAGATGAGTTATGTGTGTGTAATTTTAACCAGTAGAGGGTGCTGGAATACCACATGATATAAAACAGTCAGCTAAAGCTACAGAATTTAGCAATTTACCTTGTTTGTAAAATAATAATAATATTTTTTCTTGAAAGAAACAGACATATCAGACCTTCAGGAAAAAATCAACTCCGTTTTAATAACCTATATTTATTTATAATAGCTAAATAAACAGACGTCGTGCAGCCATTGCTTACTAAAGACTATTTAATATTAACTAGCAAAAGTGTACATTTGATTATGAACATTTTCTGTAAGTTTTTAAGACTTTAAAAACGCTCTCCGTGAAGCCATGTTTTTTTGTTTTCTGAATAGGAAATTTAATAACGAGAAAGAAGCATATTTTAATTGCATACATTTCACTTCCTAACTTCAGCAAATGAATTTGTGTTTTGCATCATGCTTTATTTAAACTCCTAAGCACAGGATGTCCTCTTTAAGAGAATGTAAATCAGTCAGGAAAGAAACTACAGCAGGACTGAATAAAGGCCCTCTGCAACTAACTTTCCTCTGCTTTCAAAACCATCACCTTCAGTTCACATCACGATTTTAATCTTAATCATTGCTTTACATAGTTAATGCACAGAAAAATCAGTATTTTACGCTCAATAGCAGACTGAATCACCAACCACTTGTAAAGAGAGTTAGTAAAACTGGGATGAGAACAAAATATTGTTCATGACATAATCTAAGGGTATGAATGATTAAAAACGTTGGCAAAAGAAATATGATTTTCAGTTTACATATTTATTTATTAAAAAATGCAATCCACTTTTATATTTTATTTTTCCATAACAATTAGATTTTTTAAATATATTAATAATCTCGACCCCCCTGGTTGAGAACCACGGTTCTAAAACAAGTCAGTGTAGTGCCTTACAAAGATTTTAAACCTGGAAGACACTCTGAAGCTTCTAAAGTCTTTAAGAAAAAAAGTTTGGGATTAATATTGAAAATTAAATTACAAATGAAATTTAGCTAACGAAATACAGATGATAACAAATTCTTGACATTCGTCCTTATTTATTTTCACAATTTAAAATAATCTATTTTAGAGTAAGAACTGTGGTAAGAACATGATTTACATTAACATTCATAGCAACATTCAAAGTTCGTGCCAAAATGTTATAACATTATTACAGTCATAAAATAAATAAGCTAGAGTTTATTAATCAGAACGAATCAGAAAAAAAACAAGCATCAACAGTGTGAATTTTGAACAACCACCCCAGGTGAGCGTTGAGGGACCGGGGTAGTGTGTGACGCCAAAATCTCGCGATACTTCACGGGGAGGGGCGTGTCAGATTCCAAGAGAGGCGAGAGAGAGCGAGAGAGAGAGAGCGAGAGAGAGAGAGGGGCGCTGTGGTAAGTTTGTAAACATTCTTCATTTGTCAAAAATGTGGAATCGATGATTGTCTTGATTTGAAACAATGTCCAATTGTTTTTATATCCGTTAACAAGGTTTGTCTGTGATCAAGAGTAACTTTTATGAGGAGACTGTGAGGCTGTCAGATTGGCAGTGGGTTACCAGCCGAAGTCTGCGCGAAACTGCGGGCTCGTTCAGAGCTCTTGACAAGCGAGAGAAGAAAATCTTAGGGACGGATATCTGCCCCTAACGTCATGTATTATCTTGTATATGTATATGCCATATTACTATATACTATAGAGTTTTTAATTTTGTGTCAGTATGTACGTTTATTTGCTTATGTAAAATTACATATTTGATATCACGGTCAGTTTGTTTGCGTCAAAGTGCTCTTTGCATACTTTTGTTTCTGGGGGGGATAGAGCGGCCTGTACGCTCTGTGAATTCCATTTTTGAGTGGGATTTCCGTGCGCCAATGAGACGCAACTAATAATCGTGATTGACATTTATTGTAGCCAAACAGCAATTCGATATTTTTGATTGACGAGCATGTGACCAATCAGAACATGGGTAGGGCGGGCACATGCGGGAAAAGGCTGGCTTTAAAGTTGGCATGTTCGCAAGACGTCAAGCTAGCATGGGTTTACTAAATAGTTAGCGACGTTTATTTTCGGCGAGGCCACCAGAAATGATCGTTATTTTTTGGTGTGTTGCAGCAATCCAACATGGAAGGTAGAAATTGCACATTAAAGTGTCATAAAACTGTATTTAAAACAAAACTCAGCAACCGTGCATTGTGTTTTAGTACACATTTCCATAAAAGTTCTATTTTTGTTGCTTACAGAGACAACCATGATTTGAAGTAGGATAAATTACTTTTCATATTTTACTTTAAATACTTTTCATATTTTCAACTAAACTTTTTTCTAAAAGGTTTAGAAAAAAGGTGCTTTGCAGTAATTACTGTTAAATTAAGGTAGATGTTTTTTAAAGAGGTCAACCCCACAAAAATGCAGAATTATAAATCACAAAATTCGCTTGCAATATTTGTTTATGTCTTGTTTGTTTGCTATATAAATATATTATGTAAAGCACCTGCTGTTGATCAGTTTGTTATCCCATGAAATTGTTGTGGGTATTTGGCCAAGATAATTCAGATAAAATAAAGCTAAAAAATAAAGATAAGATAAAGACATCTTTGCTCATAATGCATCTAGTGTGAAAAGACGCCTCCTAAAACAGCTGATAACAATCAACTTGATTTTGAGTGCGTGAATGTCCCATCTTAGTGTAAACACCATCTGTATGTCTGAGGACTGTAATTGTAGATATAGGTCATCTTCACATGGCACTTGTTGAATTCCAGTAATGTTACTCTTTGGAATGACTGTACGTCTCCATATAATACATTATCCTCTCAGCAGACATATTCGCTTGTGCACAAGTGAGCATTTTTTGCAGCTGTTACAGTAATTACCTCATTGCGACTTGATTAATGAGAGCTCAGAGCCTAACTTGTTAGTTTCACCTCTGCTATAAGGCATCTGCAGCGGTTCACAATGTGTTAAGTGAAGACGTTTTACAGGAAGGAACTTCGTATGCCAGTTTGACGTCTTTCATATGATGAAATGGGCGCTGTTTGTGACTGCCAGGTCGTTTGTTGAACCATGCTAACCATTAAAAGTCAGAACTGTGAATGAAGGATTATGTTATGATTATGTAAGTTGTCCTGGCAACGGTTGTATATAGGATAATATAATTGACAGCATATAATGATAGTTGCCCGGATGCGACAGTAGAGTAATAGAGCAGACCAAATAACACCGTTTCAAATATCCAGCAGACCAAATAACAGACTGTTCAAATAAAACAGATATTAAGGGTAAACTGCCAGCCGTGCTTGAGTTGATTCTGGGCAACTGTGCTCTTCTAAAGTTATGTAATATTTGGTCTGCTCTAAAAGGTTTGCCGGGCTCATGAAGTACTGTGAGAGAGCTCACAACGATTGAGGGAGATACTGCATGGATATAATGAATTGACAATGTGGGTGGCTGTTTTCGTCAGATTTTGGCAATCACTTCTGGCTTGATGGATCGCTCAGATTTAGGAATCATTAAAATATGATATTCGCATGCCATCATGGTGCTGTAATGTTTAGAGAACCAGCAGAATATGCCAAAATTGAATTGGTATGTCTATTATAATGTAATTAGCTGCTCTTTTTTTAGAACATTGCCATACTGACAGCAATACATCCTGATTTTTTAGCCCAGCCTTTTAATATAATCTTGATGATTATTTGTTCTGGAATTGCTTAAAATGTTTTTGCAGTCAAATCATAGGAACCATCATTTTGACCATACACTGTGGTTTAATGCAAGAAGTAAAGTATGATGAACAATCTGGATAGGAATAATGATGAAGGATATATCACTGTTTTACATTACGGGAACACAACATTTATTTATTATCATTTATATACACTGTTGTTTTGAAGTTTGGGGTCTGCAAAAATTATTTAATGTTTTTGAAAGAAATCTGTATTTTTTTTAAATAAAAAATAGTGAAATCAGTAATATAGTAAATATTATCACAATTTAAAATAACTGTTTTCTGTTTTAATATATTTTAAAATGTAATTTGTTCCTGTGATAATAAAGCTGAATTTTCAGCATCATTACTCCAGTCTTCAGTGTCACATGATCCTTCAGAAATCATTCTAATATGCTGATTTGGTGCTTAAGAAACATTTATTATTGTCAATGTTGAAAATTGTTGTTGTGCTGCTTAATATTTTTGTGGTACATTTAGATTCCTTGATGACTAGAAAGTTCATAAGAACAGCATGTATTTGAAATAGAAATATTTGATAAAATCATATCATAAATGTCTTTACTGTCGCTTTTGACCAATTCATTGCATCCTTGCTGAATAAAAGTATTAATTTCTTTCTTTCATGTTTTTTCCTTTCAATTTCTAAACCCCAAACTTTTGAACAGCAGTGTTTGTACCACTATTACTATACTAATTAGTAGGGATGCACCGATATGAACATTTTGACCGATAACCGATAATTCTTTCTTTTTGAAAGCCGATAACCGATATGTTGGCCGATAAATCTATATCCACATTTTTATATACTTTTTGAGAGCCTGATTACAAAAAAGGTCTCATGCAACTATTAACTATACTAATTAACTATACCTGCATATTTACCTACATATGTTTTTACAGCACTTTTAAAGGACTTAAACAAAGGTTTTTGAGTAATGACGCAAATGAGACAATTTTGAATCAATGTTGCATAATATTATATTGCCAGCAAAATTATTGCAGATATATCGTCACGTGGACATTAGATATATTTCTGGAGAGAAGACACACTGTTGCTGTTTTGTTGACTTGTAGCATGTCCAACATTGTTGCAGCCCCAGTATAAACTGATCTGAAGAGGATTATGGGTTTACAGAGGGGGACTTCAGGTCCACATTGTTCCTAGCAGAATACAGGCCAAGGGAACTGCATTGGGCTACACTGTGCATTTCCTCACCATGGATTTAGCACCGGGCACACTGCAGCCATGCAGACATGGATCTAAAGTTTCATTTGTTCCATTTTCCAAAGCTCAGGTTCACTAAGGTTACATAAATCCAAATCAACCATAAAACACACCA